TAAGTTGATGTCAATATGTTTATAGCTATTATAGCTATTGTATTGATACCTCTTTGATGATTTTGCTATCAGTAAGAGTGCTTGGAACTGTTCCTAAATTACTGTCAATTTTGCTTGTTACCTCGTTTATTACCTAGAATATACTAATATATTATCCTGATATCTTTATTGATTATCCATACGGGTGGGGCGAGGCAATGACCTAAAATGGCATATATAATGTATACTTACTCAAGGGTTTTTCCATTTTCTCCATCTAGAAATGTATGACCTTTAAGGCCATTTTGGAGTTTTGAATTTAGAAAAACCTATCTTTCACGAAGTTTCAGCCTTAAAGAACGATATGAATTGAATCTAATATTCATCTAGAATTTTAATATCTTTTTGAACACCGATATGAAAATGTTTGCCCGTTTTTTATCGTATTTTGACCTCAAACAATTTCCCAGTCTCTAGCAGCCTGGTATGAGCCTCTAGTAGCCTAGTATGAGCTTTGAGTAGCCTGGTCCGCGTGAATAAACATGTTAGGATGTCCAATTTAGGTGTCACATACTACGTGACACATTAGTCATTACATATTATGTGCATAAATGGCATAAAATGTCAATTTACTCAAATGTTTTTTGATTTTTTTCTTTATAATGCCATATTATGCCATATTATGCAATTTTAGGTCATTGCCGCTCCTCTCGCTTCCCAGTCTGATATTATATAAGTATATAAACAATAAGTGACGCCCTCCGATCTGGTTCTCTTCATATTACTTAACAAGCCCGCTGTGTGTTCATCAAATATACAATCTTGTGTTTATAAATACAAACCACGAGTTGTGTTTATAAACGGACACGACCCTTGGGTACTGGGTAAAACACAACAACAGTATCTGTCCACAACCTGATGAAACTCAGCTGTGGTCAGGCGCGGTATTACTGTCTCCACATTTATATTGCATATTAGCAGTTAACATTGAATAGCTCTTTCTCGGAATACAGATAATCATTTAATTTTTGTCTTCATATCAATACATTGACTAATTATCTTACATTTTATTTTAATCTTAGTATAATTGGGGCCTCTACATATTTCTTTTCACACTACTGATATAGAAGTGTTCTAGACAACATTTATTAATATTATATTTGATACATTAATATTCAATGTTGTGATTGCATAATTTATTGTCAATTTGTTGTATTTCAACATTATGTAATGGGATGGAAGTGCTTTAATCAGTTGTAAGTTGTAACCAGTCCACACCCTGTCTCCATAGTATGAAAGTATGAAGGACTTGTTTTAATTCTAAATGAAAAACTCCAACAAATCAAATATAATAATATAATTATCATAACCAGAACAGCGTTCGTACGTGTTAATTAATCTCCACGGTACGTGTTATTCTATTTTCGATCTGTTCACTGTATGTGGGTATACAAATTATCTGGAGAATTGTGGTACAGATTATCCTATAGTACTAAGACATGGCGCTTCCTACAGACTGTATGTACACTGTTCTAGTGCAGACATTGTAAACAAGACGGTAAATACCTGGTGTGTACAATCGGTATGTTAGGTATTTTGTTTGTTTGTTTCTGACCTGTTTCCTTTGACCAGCACGTAGGCAAATTCTGCTGATATCACGTGCGAATTCTGCTGATATCACGTGCGAATTCCGCAGATTTCACGTGCGAATTCCGCAGATATCACGTGCATTTTTCGTCCCTTCTACACGTTTTCAGTTCTTTACTTTGGAGGTGTGTGATTTTGGGTGCAAGATATAGTCATCAGTCACGTGTACTGCATCTCACAAAATGCCCAGGATCTCTAGATCATATTGTGGTTATATCAGAAACACGTTGTTTAGTTTTATGTTGTTTGACAGTGTAATAGGTGTAACCGTACGAATTATTATGTATGTTTGTTTTGCTTTTGTTTGCAGAAACGCCGTGATATTAATTTAATTCTTAGGAGCAGATTTATTAATGTTGTTAACTCCTAGCCACAGGCAGGAAGTCATCATAAAAATGTTCCAAATTCCATTTGTTTATTTACAATTACGTCTCCACGATCTGTTTATTGGCAAACATCCAAATATTACCGTCTCCCAATCCCATGAGTTTATGATATTATGTGTATCACGTTAAATTCACTTTTCTTGCTGTCTTAGCTGACTTTTCTCGGTAACTTAGAAAACAAAGATATGGATGTAACTACAGGGACACAAGATACATCATTCTGTAATTATGGTAACTTCTTTAGTCCTTTGGCCTTTGTACAGTGTTCATCACACACGTTCTCGTTATATCTACCTTTCTTCCAGTTTTTACTATTTCTCAGAACAGCTGATATATGCTCCTCTCCAGTGTTTTACGATTTTCCTCAGCCCTACAATTATTACAATATGTTATTGTAAGATTTCATTACAAATTTTAGAGTATATTTCCGTTGCATTCTGTACAAGTTGTGATTTTATTGTTTACAGTTCTATAAGTAGCACATCACGTCATTTGTGACAATATTCCGCTTTTGGTCTCCACCCTTCCCCAACCTTCAGATAACGTGATTTTCCAGACTTGAGTTGGATATTATGCAGTAAATAATGTGATTACGTATCGTTAACTTAAGAAAAAACAAGTCGTTGCTCATGCTGACAGTGTTGCTATGGTTAGTGTAAAATGTCATGGCCTCCTTCTAATGATTCATTTTAAAGATCTGGGATTCTGGGGCTCCCTTTCTTTTTTGTTGATACCTGATTTTAGGAACTCATTAGGGAGTCTATAGAAATTAAATAATTTACTTGATAGTTGATTAGTCAAGTTTCCGCGGTTGGTACTAATTTTCTCAATGATTATTTAATTTATTCTGCTCTTTGTGCAGTAATTCAATAATTTTTCTACTGAACTTATTTCTTGTTATTTGATTATTGGTATCTTGCTATATTGTTATATTTGCAAGTTATTTCTCGTTCAGTAATTCAGCATAATAAAACTGGGCTCAAAATGTTGGCTGTGCAATATGAACTAAACTAATTAACATTGTTAATTAACCTAATTAACCTACCAACATCGCTGTGTGTTTCTTAATTGATACAGATCAAATTTCTTACGATAGTATCACCTCTGGCAATTAAATTTACTTCGATTTTCTTTTGTTCTTTATTTTTATAAATGGGTCCCTTAAAACTTTAAAAACAGTACATGAGCAACTACACTGTCACTACATATTATTTAGAAGCATGTACAATATGTATAATTGTGCGACACGGTAGTAATATAAAGCATTTAATCTCAAGATATTTCAGAATACTGTTACATGTAACCGTTGCGCATTTTCTACTTCAAAGTTTTGATTTAGATTAAATATAGCTAAAAATAAACGATGATATATCAACTTAATAACACCAGAATGTGTGTGTGTCTGTGTGTGTGTCTGTGTGTGTGTCTGTGTGTAATTTCCGAACGGTTATACAAAAAAAACGGTAATAGTTACGGGACTGGTTTTTTCGGTATAGTGCCGAAAAAACTCTGACGAAGCCAATAAGCAAATTTTATAAAAATCGGCCGGTGGTAAGTGGTTTAATTGATGGTTTTGTACCACAAAATATGTTACATAAAATGGCTTGAGAAGAACGGCAAGAGTTACGGGGCTAGCTCTCTCTCTCTCTGCATATGTAGCGTATATATTACATGGCGTATATATTACATGGTCATATAATACTATAAACTTATTAGGGGAGGGAGTGCTCAAACGGTCTGTTTGGACTGTAGAGAGAGTTCATACTTTCATACGACAATGTAATGCATGTTCACAAATATGATAGGCTGGTGTGGTGCATGGTGTTAAGGGTTAATTTCTATTGATTATTGATTAAGAATTACTATCTTTTAAGCATACTATTGGATACGTGAGGGCACTCCGAATAGAATTGCTCGCCTAATCCGGGTTTTGACTCAGCGGGTAATTACTCCTACCCTTTTTAACTGCGGCAGTGAAATCCCGGCCGTAGGCCGGGTTACACTAGTAATCATATAATGTTACTTTTCTGGCTGTTCACTGTTGCACAGTTAAATCACGCTTCTTTTGACACTCATCGCCTTACAGCGAATAACTAATAAGCCGCTAACTACCCTGTTTTTGTGTGTTTCAGTGAGCTAGCCATCAAAGGGTTGGACTAATTACCAGACGTAGGAAAATGTCGAACGTTTATTATATCTTCTAACAACCCAACTGTCAAATACTCAGTTGTCCAGCAATTAAGCTGCTAAAAGATGAAATATTTTCTTTGCGGCTAATAAACAACCGCTCCATCGTCTTCAATGTCAAGAAGAAAAACACACACGATTTAATTAGATAATTAATCAGATTGGTAATTAGATAACTTTGTATAATGATACATGCATTTATCGTGCATGTTGTCATACATTGCAGTATTATAATAATTTGTATATTCAATGGTTATGCTTCACTGACACTAGTAACAAGTTCAAGTTGGAGTCGAATTTCGTTATCATTGAAACCTCATCATTGAAGCGTTAACGTTTGCGGTTTGTAATCAATTCATATAATTCATAAATCAATACATTTTAGCACTTATTACACGCTTCGACATTAGAAAACGTACATAAAGAAGATGTACATTTAAGTTGTTCAGAATTGAATTCCCTCTCTGAAAGCCATAGTTTTAATATGATGTGCTAACTTAAGGTTACTTCGCAATGTAACTAGTTGAACGTTATTGTGGTATCGTATGTATGTTTAGTTGGTTTGTTAATTGCGAATAATATTACCTTGTGTTTATATTGCCATTTCAATATTGTTATTATAGAATATAGACCGATGTTTACTAATTAATAGGGGCCGTGGCAACTTTTGAGTTTTGGGGTTGGGAAATTTTCACCAATCATACGTCCCCGCATCTCTTCTGATGGTGCCTTTAAATGTTGAATGCCTTAAAAACTTTACTATGTTGTTAATTTTTCACTAACACCCCCTCTACCATTCCAGCAGCATGTTAAAGTTACTATGGCTAGTAATCATCCAACTCTTCCGCCTCTCCACAACAAACCACTCCATCCCGGTCATCATAGTCCCGCAGCACCTCAACTTTGGGAACTGCAACCTCGGCTACGTCACCACCAAAAACATCTCCATCTATAATAACGCGGATCGTGATGTTATTCTCACCACTGTTTACGACAGCAGAAGTGTTTTTCAACCTCGTATATCCCGATCTAAGACAGTGCTGTTGGATCGCAACCAAAGGTATGAACTGGCGGTCATGTTTTTACCTCACGCTATAGGCGAGGTTACAGAAACATTCCAACTGTTTATACACGTTACCTCCGGTGAGGTTGCTATGACTGCCGGGACGGTTCCAAAGGACGTTATTGATATCAGGGCTACAGGAACTGGCCAGGAAAACCCGTTTAGGTTGTCACCGTTAGTTGGGGTTAAGTGGCCGACGTCGGTTGCTTACGCGCCCACGCTTAACATTTATAACCCATTTGACAAGGAGCTAAAAGTTGAGGAAGTTTATGTGAGTGGGGGCGAGGTTAGTCTTGTTCCTCCCTTTCTCTCCAATAAAGCAAGCTCGTGGAGCATAGCGCCCTATGAAACCAAACCTATTGTTAGATTAAACCTCTTCTCTGACAAATCCTATAATCATTTGTCGTATGTAACAGTGAGGTTGGGCGGAACTGATCAACTGGATATTAAACTACCTATCGAGGTAGACTTGGTATCAACCGCTAATGTGTTTTCCATGCCTACGCGTATTAATTTCGGTAGTTTTTCAAGAGACAGCCCACCGATGGTGGTTAGCATATTCCTACTTTCAACGCACAACAGTAGCACCAACATATTCTCCATCACCACGGACTCTATCTTACATCAGAACGGAATATCTATTAAAACTTTGCGGGATGGTATACCTCAGGCTCATCGCGGTGGCGGATTTCAGAAAGTAGCAGATGTAACGATAGAACCATCAAAACTGCCCGAGTTAGTGGAGAGGAAAGACAGTAAATACACGGGAAACATCAACATTAAGTTCAGTAATGCTAACGTTGAGAATGTCAACATTCCTTTCTCAGCTCATGTTTATTCTGGTTCACTCAAACTAGAGGGTTTTGGAGATGGTTTTTATTCTGGGCTTATTCCTCCGCGGGAGTATGTCAAACAGCTTCATCTTACTAATAACTATGATGTACCTGTTGCTGTGCGAAACATCGATTTGGAACCTTTGAAAGCGGAGTTCCTTATCGAGGACCTGATATTTCCCTTTGTCATCCAACCTCAGGAGACTTTTGATTTTGCTAAGTTTACCCTAAAACGACAAGGTCACAAGTTCAATGATAATTTTGTACTGAAAATGGAAACTAATCTAACACAGACCATTGAATTTCCGATACCAGTGTACAGTGGTGATGTTGATGTGACTATAGACGGTAAACCTTTAAATGTCTTGAATTTTGAACTATTGGGATATAATCAAACTCGAGTTAAAATAGTAAGACTTTTCAACAAGAACCCAGTTAATGTAGGTCTTTTGTATTATTTTACGAATGTTCCGTTTTGTGATGGTTACTATAATAATTTGTGGCGAGATGATCTCCAACAGATGATCCCTCACAAGAAAGAAGATTCCATCCAGCACCAACTGGTTGAGCTCCATCCTAAAGACTTCATTGAGATCAACGTCAGCATCACCACACCCTCCATGGCTCACAATGTGTCTGGTTTCTTTGTGATTGAAACAAACTACGACTTTGTTCAGCTCCCTCTCACATTCCGAACGTTGGAGGGCGGGTTGTTGACTCCACATATCGAGTATGAGGAGGTGTTTCCGGGTATGACCAACATTTTCACTTTGAAGATCACCAACACCTTCAACGAGACTTTTCCTATTGAAGACATCTCGTTGGAACCTAACAGCATGTTCAATTTGATAAAGAAGACTGATAAATCTATCCTGTTAAAACCTCTGTCAAGCTCTGAAGTGGGTAAGATTGAGTTTCACCCTGAAAAGGATAGCCAATACTCCTACCTGATGACGGACGATGTCAAGAAACAGAAAGAGTTTTTCAAAGGAAACCGATTAAACTTCGACCAAGTGGACTACGAACTGAAGCTCTTCAAACATCTCAAAGGAAAGTGGAATAATCTACAGAAAAACGGGAAGCACAAGCTAACTATCAACGGTGCGGTGAAGTCGAGTTTTTCAGATAACTCTCCCATCAGCACATCAGTGGATCTAACATGGCCCAGTTTTGTCCAATCCCGGAAGCCCATCCCTGTTACCCACGTAAAAGACACCTCCACATCCAACGTAAAATTAGTTAACCCATCTTCCTACTCAGTCCACATTGAAGTGTTCCTTATCAGCAGTTACCCTCACTCCCGAGCTCTGATAGATATCCTGGGAATGAGGCAAGAAGCGGTTAATGTGGACGCAGCGTATTCCTTGCAGGATACCTCCACAGACTTTCTGGATAAGTTTTTCAACGGTAACGAGGTGTCGCGGAATATCAAGTCACTGGTTTTAAAGCCTGGAGAGGAAAGGACGGTTACTGTGCAGTTCTCACCTCAATTTGTTGGTCTACATAAAAATATCCTGGTTATCAGGAATAACCTGACCCTTTTTGAACCTGTGTTGTACTCTGCTCACGCTGCTAAAGGGGAGCTGGTCTTTGAGAAGAAGCAGTTTTTACATCTGAATTTCCACGAGAACATGTTATCGGACTGTATAAGTATTTATACAGAGCAAGGCTCCATCAATAAAAGCTTCTTTAACATGAACAGATCCTTCACTTTAAAGAACATAGGAGACATCGTAGCTAAAGTTGAAGATGTCCAAATAAACGGTATCTCGTGCTCTGCGTACGGTGTATCAGTCCTAAACTGTGACCCATTTGAAGTGGCTCCCTCCGAATCCCACACCCTAAACTTCAACTTTATCCCTAACTTCCACTACTCTTACGTGGAGTACACTATTTCTATAGTCCCCTCGGCGGGAGATAAACTGGATATACCACTTATAACTAAAGTACCAGCTCACCTGTTGGAGGTATGTGCGGATAAGATTGAGAGGCCCATATGGGAGGTTTCATTCAGATTCCTGCTTCTAACTGGGGCACTGTGCTTCATAGTGGTCGTGTTTGTTCAGAGTTATATATTCTTTAGCCAGCCAATAGTTATCTCACCCCCTCCTGGATTGAAACCTGTCATCATACACAAAGCTACAGAGCAATTGAAACCAGAGCCGGTACCTGTAAAGAAGGTCAGCAAGAAGGCAGTGAAACATGTTGAGGGGGTTACAGCACCAGTCAGCAAACAAAGAAAGAAGAGAGAAGCAGCCAAAGTACGAGACACAACCTCACATGTGGACCCTGTTAAAGTGGATAAGCACCACGTGTCTAACTCTCCTAAAGTCACTAAACGTAAAGTATCAGCTCCAAAACCGGAGAGTCCCAAGATAGAAGCTGTCCAACCAAAGCCGGAGAAGATGACTAATTTTGTGAAACCCCGCATTAAAGAAGTGATAAAAGAAGCTGTTCCGGTGCTGAAAAAACAGAAAGATGTGAATATCGTGAAGCCTGAACCAAAACGTACCTCACTCAACAACACTCCCTCTATCACCGAATCAAAGTACAGGTTATCCAACAAACTAACCGCAGCAGCGGAGATAGACACCACAACCCCACCAGAACCCACAGACTTACAGCTGGAACAGAAGTTTGCAGCAGCAGTCCAAGAGGAACAAAAGAGGAAAAACCAACTATCATACAGCTCAATATATCACCAGACCCCTGGCAGCACGTGGTCTCCAACAACTGGAGCTAACACCGTCCCTAAACTAGACACATCACCCCTGATCCCACCTACCTCCACCATCCCCTCTCTCTCCACCTCCGCCCTCTCCTTCCAACCTCCTCTCTCTGTGGATGACTGGTTCGCACCTGATGCCCAAAACCCCTTCACCAACTTCAACCTGGTGTCCAGCTCCAGACAAACCTCCCGGTTTCAGTCCATGTTCTCTGACAGTACACAGCCGAGTGATACTGATAATTGGAGTGGCATTTGGGGACCCTTGAGGTTGGATACAGGTCTTGATGAACAGGTCTGGAAAACTGACTAGAGGGTGTGTACTGTGTGTGGTGTGTGTTTTCTAATGTTTGTACTCTAGGAAATTCTTGTTGTTTTTTTTTGAGAAACTTGTTTGAGTTGTTCATACTCGTATTATATTATAGTTAATTATAAGTTGTTTCTTCTATTATCTAGGTATTGTTGCACAGGTTGTTACATGTTCATGTTGGAATATTATATTATATTTGAAGGAGAAAGTGTTACAATCATTGTTTGGAAATTTATATTCCGATTTTGGTATTATTTTTTTACCACCGTTATAAAGCTGTACATTAATTTAGTAACCCAAATAAATTATGTAGTCATGAAATAATTACTAAGTAGCTGAGCTTTAACTTCCAATAAACCACGAAACAGATGTTTTCCTCCATATTTAAATTTTATTGGTGGCAGGATTATAAAAGTTACCCAATGAATCAAACTCCAAATCTTTGGGATAGTCAAACACATGATGTGTAAATTAACTCAATAACCAATATGGAATCTAATTCGGTGAGTAATGTAAATGGTGTGTAAAGTGTTAAATCACTATCAGAGGAATAATATGTATCTTCTGATGACAGAAAACACACACTCATATATTATATAATATCACACATAATATCATGATATCACACATAATATGCACAGTTAGACATATACACACATGTGTTAAATACATTACATGCTTCCAACAGATCCAACTATTCAACAAGTCCGTTTTACACTTGGACACTAGGTGTCACGCGCAAAATTCCTGAGCTGTTCGACAGAACTGAGGAATTTAAGCTGAATTTAAGAATTTTGAATGGAGCTATTGATATTGTGTTGACTGTTGAGTCACAAACGTCACAAGTGCAAGTGCATGCTGGAAATGTGTTGTTAGGAAAATGTTGTTGAGTAAAATGTTGACGATGTTTGTAATAGTAGTGTACTACAAAACCAAAGTAATTCCTTGTATTAAACTATATAACAATTATTTAATCAACTTGGTGAGAGTGGCATTTCACGCTGGTATGAGTTACGCTAACGTTAACGGACACCTTAGCAGCCCAGTTCACATACTTCGTGGCGTCCATCAGGGGAGCCCCCTTTCCCCAATTCTTTTCCTCCTAGTGTCCCAGGTACTTAGTAATAAGCTACAGTATAACCCTTATATTAAAGGCCTCAGCATTAATGGTATCGACATACTCATGAGTCTGTTTGCTGATGACACGGATCTGTACCTGGATCCCTCCCAGGCTTGCGTAGATGCAGTTATCCTAGAGCTCAACCTGTTCGGTCAGCACTCAGGCTGTAAGCCCAACATCAGTAAAACTAAGTGCATACCTTTAGGAGCTACCAGAGACAACACTAGTCTTCGAAATTACCTTACCAGTACATACGGGGAAGACATGGTAGCTAACGAGTTTACAGCATTAGGAGTCAAGTTCGACAACACGTCTAGTGGAGCTGATCTCTGCAAAATGAACTACCACAGTAAACTTAGTAACGCCAGCACCGCTATCAACACCTGGAGTAAGAGAGACTTAACTCTGATAGGAAAGTGTACAATTATTAAATCTCTTATTCTTTCCCAGTTCACTTACCTTATCATACCACTAGAAACTCCTGATACTAACACCATCAGTAAAATAGACACTATGATATTTCACTTCTTGTGGGGTTGTAAGAGGGATAAGTTGAAACGTGATATTGTTACTTCTCCTCGTGAATGTGGGGGTCTAGGTCTCTTCTATACTAACGATTTTATTATAGGTTTAAAAGTGTCACTTATAGGAAAAGTTATCGATCCTAATTTCCAACATGCCTGGAAAAATATTATCATCAATCAGCTTTTACACCCAAATATACCAACTGTGTGTATAGAAAACTGTCTCACATTAAAGAATACTGGTTTTACCTTTAACCTTCTTCGCCATTATAAGCTTTGGAAGTCTATTTCTTCACAGTCAAGTAAGAGTACAGTCAACCACTGTGTGTGGGGAAGCGACGTAATAATGGACATTGGCTCCAAGCTCTGGAACGATATTCTTATTGATAGAAATATCATCTATCTTTCTGATTTCGTTTCAGAGGAAGGTAACCTCTTAAGTTTTCAGCAATTTCTGAGAAAGTGGGGCCAAACAAGTAGTATAATCTCTTCGACTCAATATGCGAGTATAAAATTGGGAATACGTCGATTTAATAATACCGATACGTTTACAAGTAACATTACATTTATCGATACCCAACTTTCACTTCGCTTTTGGGGAGGTAGGAATACCCCCAACTCTAGAGATACTCCTCTCACTATCAAAGGTAGAAACATTAGAGATACCATGTCTAAGCGTTTAGATCCCAGCACCCTTCCTCCAATGAGGAACTGGAGTGCTAACCTCTCCTTAACGGATATTGATTGGATTAGTATTTTTACGGATATTTTTACTTCTTTCTCAAATAACTTCAAACTTATTCAGTACCAATATAAGCTCCTTCACCGGATTAGTACTTGTCGGTACATGAGATATAAAATGAAGATTGAAAAAGATAGTCCAAATTGCTCGTTATGTAATCACAACCTCGAAACTATCTCTCACATATTTATTGACTGTCCAGCCACAAGCTCTTTCCTACAGGGAGTAAATCTGTTTATTAGATCGAATATTGACGCAAATTATGACGACCCATATCGCCACTATTTGATTTGCTTAAATCACAGAGATAAAAGTGTTAACTTCATAAATTCGGTTTGCTGTTGGTTTATTGGAAGGAGTTTCCAGAACAAGGAACCCCTATTCTGGGAGCGATATCTTAAACATCTTAAGCTTTTCTTATTAGGTGAAAAACCGGATATTATACGGTGTCTTAAAGACGTTATACCTTGATGACCATTTTATACCCAAAGTTCTGGATCCACTATAACACTCTTGTTTATTTATTCTCTCGAAATTACAGCCGTGCCTTACCTTTACCCTTTATTTCACAAGTTGTAGCCAGTGGAGTTATCTCCACTACTAGTATTGATATAGAGTCATATTTAAAACCAGTAGTATCTCTCCTTTTTCTCTCCATCTTATGTGCATTTTATTACTCTATATCCACTGACTTTATTCGACGTATTATCTAAAAGAATAAAAAAAATTGTGTGCGTGTGTTTTTATATTTATTTTGCTACGGCGCATGTGAAACCCCAGGGCATCCAGCACCGGAGAAGCTGAAATGACACTCTCTGAACCCTTGGTGCCGCTCAGATTTTGCCTCTTGGCTGGCAAGCCGAGTCTTGATCGATTAACTCAGCTTCTTCGGTACAACACAGACCGGAGGGTACTATTAGCCGCTTTGCCGGTGGTATCCTCCTGGTGTCCTGGGGTTTGGCAGGTTCCTCATTTAAAAAATAAAAAAAAAAAAAAAAAAAAAAAAAAAAAAAAAAAAAAAAAAAAAAAAAAAAAAAAAAAACTATATAACATTTATATTTAGTTAGGTTGCCCGTACTTAAGCATATTATTATCCAAATAAGACATTACATAAGTATATAAGACATTACATAAGTATATTGTTAACTAAGTATAAGACATTACATAGACTAACTGATGAGGGGATGTACACGAGCTACACCGCAATCTGATTAAGTTATATATACTATTTACAATTATCATGATACACAGTATTTTACATACCTCTCCTTTGATACGCTAATTACAGTGCACATTACATATGTTTTAATCAGTACACATTAGTTTTATACAATTAAATGTATATACAGTCGCTGAATTAATGTATAATACACTATACAGTCGATGAGATATAAGATTACGTGGTTGATCATCTTGTCACGTGACTGTACCCACCCCCGTGTTTTCACCCGTACCCACTACACTGATTACAGGATTACAAAATATCAGATGTTTTACATTACGTTTTACACTACTATAACAATCGTAATTGTAAAAACAATATCAAATAATAAAGTAAATAAGAACAAGTTCAGTAAAACTCTGCCCACTTTAATGTGCTATTCTTGTCCAGTACCCACTATAACATAAAGATTGTGTTGCCACCCCAGTCGTAGTAATAACATGTACTTATGTACTGCATGTTACCTTGTTGCTTGACAACTTTAGTAGTTCTATTAAAGTATATAATCAACGTGTTGAGCCGCAAGTAGAGGTAGAATCTGGAGTACTTGTCCTACTGTAGGAGTACTTGTCCTACTGTAGGAGTACTTGTCCTGCTGTAGGAGTACTTTTCCTACTGTAGGAGTACTTTCCCTACTGTAGGAGTACTTGTCCTACTGTAGGAGTACTTGTCCTACTGTAGGAGTACTTGTCCTACTGTAGGAGTACTTGTCCTACTGTAGGAGTACTTGTCCTACTGTAGGAGTACTTGTCCTACTGTAGGAGTACTTGTCCTACTGTAGGAGTACTTTTCCTGCTGTATGAGTACTTTTCCTACTGTAGGAGTACTTGTCCTACTGTAGGAGTACTTGTCCTACTGTAGGAGTACTTGTCCTACTGTAGGAGTACTTGTCCTGCTGTAGGAGTACTTGTCCTACTGTAACTGTATTGTTCGGGATGTTAGTGTTCTGATTCAGTCGAGTGTGAATTACTGATAGAGACTATTATAACTTTATAAGTCTACTTCTGAGAAATACTGATAACGTTACCATGGTAATCAGGGCTATATCGGTCGTAATTACAAACAGGTTTTATAGAGAGATAAGGCAAGCTGGCTACCTTATCATGGCCCAGCTTGAGTTGCTGGTGAAATAAAATCGCTACGATATTCACCTATAAGTTAACAAGATGCCGTAACATGCCTTATTATTCACTCTAACACAAAGTATGCTGTATTTATAGCCCTGTTCTGTCTAGTTGTTCAAGTGACCTGCAGATCCGTCACATGATGAGGCTAATATTATCTAACATAGTAGTAGTATCCTGTAGTTTATATAATATCTAACATAGTAGTAGTATCCTGTAGTTTATATAATATCTAACATAGAAGTAGTATCCTGTAGTTTATATAATATCTAACATAGTAGTAGTATCCTGTAGTTTATATAATATCTAACATAGTAGTAGTATCCTGTAGTTTATATAATATATAACATAGTAGTAGTATCCTGTAGTTTATATAATATCTAACATAGAAGTAGTATCCTGTAGTTTATATAATATCTAACATAGTAGTAGTATCCTGTAGTTTATATAATATCTAACATAGTAGTAGTATCCTGTAGTTTATATAATATATAACATAGTAGTAGTATCCTGTAGTTTATATAATATCTAACATAGTAGTAGTATCCTGTAGTTTATAAAATATCTAACATATTATCTGTAATGTTCCTTCACCTACACACACACAATTCTTGTGAATGCCAACTGTGTGTCCAATATTAGCAGAAATATGTCTCCGTTTGTATTATCATGTGCACAATACAGGCAGAAAAAGACGCCAAACTGCTCATTGAATACTGTTGTGTTACTGTAATTTATAATATGGTATATTGTCTTGGCTTATTATGACACATTGTAAATATTAACTTTATAATTATATTATATTATTAATATACGTAGTACATGGTATTGTTATATTGCATATTATTATTTCTTAAATACAAAGATACAAGTTGATGCGTGATTAGAGCAGATAAAGTAAACTATTTACATATTATTTTATTACATATGCCATGACTTTTCTCTGAAACTAGCATAGTCGGTCTAATCTGTCACAGCCTGTCTGTCTAATTTGTCCCTGTCCCTGTCCCTGTCCCTGTCCCTGTCCCTGTCCCTGTCCCTGTCCCTGTCCCTGTCCCTGTCCCTGTCCCTGTCCCTGTCCCTGTCCCTGTCCCTGTAAATGTCCCTCTCCGGCTGTCCTGTCCTGTCCTATCCTGTCCTGTCCTGTCCTGTCCTGTCCTGTCCTGTCCTGTCCTGTCCTGTCATGTCATGTCCATTGTCCCTGTATCCGTCCCTATTTATTTTTGTTTTCCTGTCAATATGCTAGTCTCTATAATTTTATAGTCTATGACAGTTAATTCCAGGTTTGCAGTATTTAATGCCACTCTAAGTTTTATAAGTTTTAGTTGGTACTGCAGCGCAGAGATCAGCCAGCCGATCACTTCTAAAAATAGAACCGGACAATTTCAGAGCTTTTTTCTCTGTAAAGCTGCAAGATGTGATTTTTAAACTGTCCATCTAATTTTGAAACATCTACCTCTCCGACAAATTCCCAAGCATTTACTACAGTTAAACTGGTCCAGAGTTCTCGGATTGGCTGCATATCACTGCATAGCAGGTCCAACACAGCACTGTACATGTTTAACATGATATGTCTTTTTCAAAGTAACTCAGAAATACAATTTGTAGTGTATAACAAGTTATTAAACTTACCTAACACATTATATTATGTGTATTATAACACGTAAGACTGTCAAAGTAAAACCTTGTTAGTTGTTATACACAGTTTATGTTTTCATCACCTTGATAACACACCATGTCTATCTTCTGTACTCCTTCATAAAGTTTTACGTCTCGCAAATATCACACTGTACTCCTTCATAAAGTTTTACGTCTCTAAAACATCACACTGTACTCCTTCATAAAGTTTTACGTCTGCCAGGGATAATACTTAGTGAGTTACAACTTATAAGAGAGGGAGAGAGATGATGAACTTCTTTTGTCCGTTTCAACAATGTGACAATTATTACTCATGTGGTCGAGTATAAACGGGCGCGGTGAATCGGGTACATGTTCTATTAATAGATGTGTGTTCTTTGTGTATGTGGATTTGTGAGTGTAGTGAAATAACTAGCCTGAGTTTGGCTTATAAAATATAAAGTGAAAGAGCTAGCTTCAGTTTAGCTTATAAAGTGAAATCACAAGCCTGAAGCTGAGGTTAGCTTATAAAGTGAAATACGTGGCTTGGGTTTGGCTCAAGTTTGGCCCGGCTTTGGCAAATATAATACACTCATCGCAAGTTTACCTAACTTTATCTACTGCAGCGGCGGTGGTATCCTCAATCTGACTTAGAACTTAAATTTGTATAACACGTTGTAATAATATACTATTATTATTACATATCTTGTTATATGGGTTGTATAACATGATATAATAAGTACAGGTGGTGATTAATGAGGTGTCGTGATTAATAACTTGCTAATTAATTGCTCGTCTCTGCATCCCAGTGTCCAGCTGTCAAAGTTAACAGAGTATAAGCTATTCTCCTTGTACTACCATGTTTTTTATAACTGTCATATGGAATGTGGGTTAACCTAGATGGAATGTGGGTTAACCTATGCTATGTTCTCACAAGTTTTATTTCAGTGTTTAGTAAAGTCAGCTTTCTAAACCTGGCGATATCTCAGTGGGTGAGTAGGTATTCAGTGTGTAGTTAGCAGCTATGAAATAACACTTTATTCTGCATACCATAATAGCATGTAAATCTCCTGTATGTGTATAATTAATGTATTAAGAATTTATGTTATGTAATATGTATAGTGGAGTGTATTAGTAACATAGTTAAAAGTAGATTTAGGTTTACATCACTCATCAGACAACCTTTCTCTTTTGAAATTATATCATTGCAATCATTGTAAAGTATCAGTCATTGTAAAGTATCAGTCATTGTAAAGTATCAGTCATATCTCCCACTCAAACCTTAACTCGCTGTGTTAAGTTATCTAATCCATATTAAATCAACTTTAAAGCTGTTCACCGTGAACTATACAACTAAACATTCCGATGCACTACAGGTACAGTATGATGTCTGAGAGACGTAAAACTTTATGAAGGAGTACATTCCGATACACTTCACCGCTTCACGTCAAGTTTCAACATACTTCTTTTGTCCTGGTTAAAGTTGGTATTTGTTTGTTTGTTTGTTGGACCGTACAGTCTACCTTCGTGGTGGAATGTTGGTACGTTCGTTGTTTCCCCGGTAATACATTGTTTTATCATCTGCCTAAACCAGCGATAAATAAACAGCAACACTTAAAAGCGCCAGTCACTTACCTGGTTGTGTTAAGGTATTTAAGGTTAAACTTAAGGTATTCAAGCCTCATTAAAACTAAAACTATGATACGCTTAAATACCAACATTAAACATACTTAACTCCTACTGGTGGAATGTTGGTATTTAAGTTTGGTATTATTCTATCCCTAAAGTTAAACCGGGTATATCTATAATTAATAGTAACACAATGTTACTATTGTGTTACTATGGTAACACAATGTACTCCACGGGACTTGTGTGTGTGTGTGTCAGGTATTTGCAGCTGTGCTATTTTGGGAGCTACTCAACCTTAAAGTTGGGTTATACCACTGTCACGTGATACATTTGACACTGTCACGTGTTAAATGTATCACGTGATCACCACCGTGACACCACCT